TTCCCATGCCCATAACACAACCCACAAGGTACAAACATATCTACTCAAAATGAAAAACAACACAACAACACACTCACAAAACGGCAAAACAACAAAACTCAAAAAAACCAACGAAACTTAACCAAAATTCCCATGCCCATAACACAACCCACAAGGTACAAACGTATCTACTCAAAATGAAAAACAACACAACAACACACTCACAAAACGGCAAAACAACTGAGCATGCGCATTGGCGCCCAGCCGCAAGTTCCCTGGCGCGCGCACATGCCCTTCCGGCCAACGTTCCCTCTGCGGAAACCATGCCCACTCCAAGCCCCGCCGCGCCGCTTCCCGCACACACACACCCCTGCCGCACACACACAACCCCACACTCCATCACTCCCCCCGCCGCCGCACACACACACGCAACCCCACCCTCCAACACATCCCCCCTGCCGCACGCACACACGCAACCCCACTCCCCCCGCGCACACACACACACAACCCCACCTCCATCACTCCCCCCCCGCCGCCACACACACACGCAACCCCCACTCCCCCCGCCGCCGCACACACACACGCAACCCCAGGCTCCATCATTCCCCCTGCCGCCGCACACACACACGCAACCGAAAGGAGAGAAAGGGGAAGGAAAAGGGGGAAGGAATAGGTAGGTACCTCTCTTTCATAATAGTCCAGATATCTACCTCAACTTTGATAAGTTTTACTGTAGGCCACAGCAACGCGTGGCAGGGCACAGCTAGTAATATTAATAAAACATGTGTTCTATTAGCAGCCATTTTGGATGGTTACTGAATTATAGCCACGGTCGCCCATATATGTGTGTGTGTATGTGTGTGTACTATCTATATAAATAAAATTGTGATGTTCATTTGTAGGATTGACATAACTCAGAAACCACTGGATGGATTGACACCAAATTTGGGCACAAGACACTGCTCAGGCCAAAGAGTGACCATCACTCATCAAAACACGGAAAAACACAGCAGAAGGGACTTAAAAAGCCCAAAACACAAAAAAAATGCATTACAATGAATGCACAAAACTACATATATATGCAAACACACATATATACACAAACATATAAATACACATATATACACACACAAAACACTTATATACAGACTGGGCCACAGCAATGTGTGGCAGGGGACGGCTAGAACAGAGAGAGAGAGAAATGGGATATAAATAAACACAATAGTAATAATAATAATAATAATAATAATAATAATAATAGATACAATGTGACCCTTTTGGATGGTCACCCAATTATGGCCACTGCTATCCATATATATGTGTGTATGTGCATATATATGGAGAGAAAAAGTGGGATATAAATCCCAATAAAAATAATAATAAATATGCTCTATTAGCGCCTATTTTGGATGGTCACCCAATTATGGCCATGGTTGTATATATATATATATGTGTGTGTGTGTGTGTGTGTGTGGGTATATATAAAAGGAGAGAAAAAGTGGGATATAAACACAATAATAGATAGAGAGAAAATAGATACATGTGCTGCATTAGCACCCATTTTGGACAGTCACCCAATTATGGCCACTGTTGTGTGTGCGTGTGTATACATGGACACACACACACATGTATATGTATATATGTAAATGTGTGTGTGTGTATATATAGAAAGAGAAAAAAGGGATATAAAGATAATAATAATAATAATATGTGCTGTATTAGCACCCATTTTGGACAGTCACCCAATTATGGTCATTGTTGTGTGTTTGTGTGTGTGTTGTTGTGTGTGTGTGTGTGTGTGTGTATACATGCACACACACATGTATATGTATATATGTAAATGTGTGTGTGTGTGTGTGTATAGAAAAGAGAAAAAAGGGATATAAAGATAATAATAATGGTAATAATAATAAATACATGTGCTGTATTAGCACCCATTTTGGACAGTCACCCAATCATGGCCACTGTTGTGTGTTTGTGTGTGTGTGTATATAGAAAGAGAGAAAAATGGGATATAATAATACTAATAAGAAGAAGAATGGATACATGTGCTCTATTAGCACCCCTTTTGGACAGTCACCCAATTATGGCCACTGCCGTCCATATGTGTGTGTGTGTGTGTGTGTAAATGCGTATATATATAGAAAGAGAGAAAAATTGGACATAAATAAACATAATAATAATAACAACAACAATAGATACATGTGCTCTATTAGCACTCATTTTGGACAGTCACCCAATTATGGCCACTGCCGTTCATATATATGTGTGTGTGTGTGTGTGTGTGTGTGTAAATGTGTATATATATAGAAAGAGAGAAAAATTGGACATAAATAAACATAATAATAATAACAACAACAATAGATACATGTGCTCTATTAGCACCCATTTTGGACAGTCACCCAATTATGGCCACTGTTGTGTGTGTGTGTATATACAGAAAAAGAAAAAAGGGATATAAAGATAATAATAATGGTAATAATAATAAATACATGTGCTGTATTAGCACCCATTTTGGACAGTCACCCAATCATGGCCACTGTTGTGTGTTTGTGTGTGTATATAAAGAGAGAAAAATGGGATATAATAATAATAATAAGAAGAAGAATGGATACATGTGCTCTATTAGCACCCCTTTTGGACAGTCACCCAATTATGGCCACTGCCGTCCATATGTATGTGTGTGTGTGTGTGTGTGTGTGTGTAAATGCGTATATACATAGAAAGAGAGAAAAATTGGACATAAATAAACATAATAATAATAACAATAACAATAGATACATGTGCTCTATTAGCACCCATTTTGGACAGTCACCCAATTATGGCCACTGTTGTGTGTGTGTGTATATACATACACACAAACACATGTATATGTGTATATGTATATATGTAAATGTGTGTGTGTGTATATAGAAAAAGAAAAAAGGGATATAAAGATAATAATAATGGTAATAATAATAAATACATGTGCTGTATTAGCACCCATTTTGGACAGTCACCCAATCATGGCCACTGTTGTGTGTTTGTGTGTGTGTGTATATAGAAAGAGAGAAAAATGGGATATAATAATACTAATAAGAAGAAGAATGGATACATGTGCTCTATTAGCACCCCTTTTGGACAGTCACCCAATTATGGCCACTGCCGTCCATATATATATGTGTGTGTGTGTGTGTGTGTGTGTGTGTAAATGCGTATATATATAGAAAGAGAGAAAAATTGGACATAAATAAACATAATAATAATAACAATAACAATAGATACATGTGCTCTATTAGCGCCCATTTTGGACAGTCACCCAATTATGGCCACTGCCGTCCATATATATATGTGTGTGTGTGTGTGTGTAAATGCGTATATATATAGAAAGAGAGAAAAATTGGACATAAATAAACATAATAATAATAACAATAACAATAGATACATGTGCTCTATTAGCACCCATTTTGGACAGTCACCCAATTATGGCCACTGCCGTCCATATATATATGTGTGTGTGTGTGTGTGTGTGTGTAAATGCGTATATATATAGAAAGAGAGAAAAATTGGACATAAATAAACATAATAATAATAACAACAACAATAGATACATGTGCTCTATTAGCACCCATTTTGGACAGTCACCCAATTATGGCCACTGTTGTGTGTGTGTATATACATACACACACACACATGTATATGTGTATATGTATATATGTAAATGTGTGTGTGTGTATATATAGAAAAAGAAAAAAGGGATATAAAGATAATAATGGTAATAATAATAAATACATGTGCTGTATTAGCACCCATTTTGGACAGTCACCCAATCATGGCCACTGTTGTGTGTTTGTGTGTGTGTGTGTATATAGAAAGAGAGAAAAATGGGATATAATAATAAGAAGAAGAAGAATGGATACATATCCTCTTTAGCACCCCTTTTGGACAGTCACCCAATTATGGCCACTGCCGTCCATATGTGTGTGTGTGTGTGTAAATGTGTATATATATAGAAAGAGAGAAAAATTGGACATAAATAAACATAATAATAATAACAATAACAATTATTAGCACCCATTTTGGTGCTAATAATTGTTAGCACCCATTTTGGACAGTCACCCAATTATGGCCACTGTCATCCATATATGTGTGTGTGTGTGTGTGTGTGTGTGTGTGTAAGAGTGTGTGTGTGTATATATATATAGAGAGAGAGAGAAAAAATTGGCTATAAATAAATATAACAACAACAACAATAGATACATGTGCTTTATTAGCACCCATTTTGGACAGTCACCCAATTATGGCCACTGTCGTCCATATATATGTGTGTGTGTAAGTGTGTGTGTGTATATATATATATATAGAAAGAGAAAAAAATTGGACATAAACATAATAATAATAATAACAACAATAGATGCATGTGCTCTATTAGCACCCATTTTGGACAGTCACCCAATTATGACCACTGTTGTCCATATATGTGTGTGTGTGTGTGTGTGTTTGTAAACAGAGAGAAAGTGGGATATAAATAAATATAAACATAATAATAATGACCCTCACTGAATGCAAACCTCTGCCGCTTGGAATCTGAGCAACGTGGCAAACGGGGCCGTGGCTGCACTGATGCCAGGTAAACATTCCCTTTTCCCTTCTCACCCTGGTGGGTATTGATCTTTCCCTGCTCTGTGTGCGCATAGCAAAGCGGGGCACGGCTGCTCGGATACGGATCCCATCGGAAACCTCCTTTGTAGGGCCAGGATTTTGTTTCTTTGGGGGTCTTGCAAAGGGGAGACCACGGCCTTTGCAATTTCCCCTTCAGAGGTCTGTCGCTCTGGATATTTTGGCTTGAGACCTTCTACCGTTGGACCATGAGGCTCACCAGGTCTCTAGAAATAGGCTCAGAAGGATGCTAGGACTTAGCAGGTATGGGCCAACTTGGGCCCTCCCTCCAGGTGTTTTGGACTACAACTCCCACAATGGCCCATGCCTGGTCTACACCCCTGGGGTGGTCTAGATGTCCTCTGAGGTGCCCCAGGACTCACCCTTGTTGCGCAGCTCCACCATGGCGGCGTACCAAGCCTGCTGCTCCTCGGGGCTCTCGGCGGCCACCCCGAAGGTGCCCTCCCGGCCGTAGAGGACCACCAGGTGCCGGTGGCGGGCGTCCTCCCGCTTGTTGACGTTGAGGGCGCTGCTGAGCGGGATGGTCCTCTTGGGCCGCGGCTGCGAGCGGAACTTCTTCTCGCTCTCGTAATACTCCAGCCGCGCCGGGCCACGGTCGCTGGCGCAGCGCAGCACGAAGAAGCGCCGGCGGTGGGACTTCTGCTTGCGCAGGTAGCCGCACAGCCGGACGTCCGAGTCCGAGGCGTCCATCTTGGGCAGGAGAGGAGGTCCGGTGACCCCCGTCTGGTCCAACTCTGGTGGTCAAGAGCAGACGGTGTGTAGGAAAAGGAGAGGTCCAATTCCAGCTATATGAAGAGCAGGGCCTTCATCGCAGTGGCCCCCTTTCCTCCTGTTTTCAAGTTGATTGCGCTGAGAAGGAGCTCCAATTTGGATTTTGCAATTGGGGGCACTTCAGAAGATACTAAGTGGGGTCTGTTTAGCAGCAATTTCCAGTTGCAAAGGAGGAGCGCAAAGCACAATGCGAGTCAATGGGAAAGACACGGGATTCGCACTCGCTTCTACTTGCATAGAAAGTGTACCATGCACAGCAAAGTGGGCAAATAGGACAGATACAAAGGGGGATTCGCACTCACTTCCACTTGCATAGAAATTGCACCATGCACAGCAAAGGATTTGCACTCGCTTCCACTTGCAAAGGAGGAGCAAGGCACAAAAAAGATGTGAAGGTGAAGGAGGATTCGCATTCAATTCCACTTGTGCAAAAAGTGCACCAAGCACAGCAAAGAGGGCAAATGGGAAAAATACAGAGGATTTGCACCAGTTTCCACTTGCAAAGAAGTAATGCACAAAAAATTGTGAAGGCGAAGGAGGATTCACACTCACTTCCAACTTCAAAGGAGCGCAAGACACAACAAGGATTTGCAATCGATTCCACTTGTGTTGAGAGTGTACCATGCACAGCAAAGTGAGTAAATGGAAAAATTAGAGGATTTGCACCCGCTTCCACTTGCAAAGGAAAAGCAATGCACAAAAAAGTGTGAAGGCAAAGGAGGTTTTGCACTCCCTTCCAATTTCAAAGGAGTGCAAAGCACAGCAAAGTGAGTAAATGGGAAAGATACAGCGGATCTGCACCAGCTTCTCTTTGCAAAGAATGCAATGCACAAAAAAGTGTGATGCTTAAGGAGGATTCGCACTCGCTTCAACTTGCATAGAAAGGGCACAATGCACAGCAAGTTGAGCAAATAAGAGAATGCAATACACAAAAAAGTGTGAAAGCCAAGGATTTGCGCTTGCTTCCACTTGCAAAGAAGGAACACAAGGCACAAGAAAGTGAGCAAATGAGACAGATACAGAAAATTCTGCAACAGAGAATGCAATACACAAAAGGTGTGAAGGCTAAGCAGGATTCACACTCACGTCCACTTGCATAGAAATGGCACAATCCACAGCAAAGTGAGCAAAAGTTGAAGTATTTGCACTTGCTTCTGATTGCAAAGGGCACACACAAGGCACAACAAAGTGAGCAAGTGGGAAAGTTACACCAGCTTCTGCTTGCAATAGAGCAATGCACAACTTTAAGTAAATGTGAAAGATGCAGAGGATTTGCACCCGCTTGTGTTTGCAAAGGAGGAGCACAAGGCACAATAAAGTGAGCAAATGTGGAACATGCCAAGAGTTGCAATGCACAACCAAGTGAGCAAACGTGACAGCTTTGAGAAATTCGCACTCGCTTGCACTTGCCAAGGAGGAGTGCAAGGCACAACAAAGTGAGCAAATGCAAAAGATACAGAGGATTTGCACCAGAGGAGTGCAAGACACAAAAAAGTGAGCAAATGGGAAAGGTACAAAGGATTTGCACCAGCTTCTGCTGGCAAAGGAGAATGCAAGACACAAAAAAAGTGTGACGGCTAAGGAGGATTCGCACTCGCTTCCACTTGCATGGAAAGGGCACAATCCAAAGCAAAGTGAGCAAATGTTGAAGGGTTTGCACTTGCTTCCACAAAGGAGACACACAGAGCACAACAAAGTGAGCAAATGGGAAAGTTACAGAGGAATCACACCGGCTTCAGCTTGCAAAAGAGCAATGCACAACCAAGTGAGCAAACGTGACAGCTTTTGAAAGAATTGCACTTGCTTCCACTTGCAAAAGGGGAGTGCAAGGCACAAGAAAAGTGAGCAAATGGGAAAGATACGGAGGATTTGCACCAGCTTCTGCTTGCAAAGGAGAATGCAATGCACAAAAATTGTGAAGGCTAAGGAGGATTCACACTCGATTGTGCTTACAAAAAAGGAGCGCAAGCCACAACAAAGTGAGCAAATGCAAAAGATACAAAGAATTTGCACCAGCTTCTGCTTGCAAAGGAGAACACAAGACACAAAAATTGTGAAGGCTAAGGAGGATTCACACACGATACCACTTGCAAAGAAGGAGCGCAAGCCACAACAAAGTGAGCAAATGCACCAACTTCTGCTTGCAGATGAGAATGCAAGATACAAAAATTGTAAAGGCTAAGGAGGATTCGCACTCGATTCCACGTGCAAAGAAGGAGCGCAAAGCACAACATGAGCAAATGCACCAACTTCTGCTTGCAAATGAGAATGCAAGATACAAAAATTGTGAAGGCTAAGGAGGATTCGCACTCAATTCCACTTGCAAAGAAGGAACGCAAAGCACAACTAAGTGAGTAAATGGGAAAGGTACGAAGGACGTGCACCCTCTTCCACTTGCAAAGGAGAAGCAATGCACAACTAAGTGAGCCAACGTGAAAGCTTTGCCGGATACGAACTAGTTTCCACTTGCAAAAGAGGCGCGATGCCCAACTTTAAGCCAATGCGGAAGATACGGAGGATTCGCACTCTCTCCCCGGAGGACCCCAAGGTGCAACTGGGGCGAGATTCAGGAAAAGATTTACGAAGCCAGAAAAGTGCAAAACAACGGAGAACCCGGGAGAATCCTCTTGCACGAGTTGGGAAGAGTGCGGAGACTTCCTTCCGAGACAGATCTGGATCCGATTTGTGGGGGGAAAGAGCTCGGGACGCCTTTAAACGTGCGCCGGACGGCTGACCATCTCCTCTGAGGATCGCTCTCCTTTTTCCCGGACAGACAGACAGACGCAGATCACCTGAAGCAACCCGGTTTGTTTACTGACGCAAGACCTCGGCGGCCTGGCCATAACTCTCCGTCGAAGGTGGGATTCTTGCCATCTCTGCCGCCGATGCAGGCAACACCCTTCCAGGCAGCTGCCAGGGGAGCAGGCCAACTGTTTTTGCTTTGGAGGAAAGAAAGAAAGAAAGAAAGAAAAAAGGACGGAGAAATGGGAGAAATGCCTCCAATTCTTCAGTTTTGGAGAGAAAATGCCCCCAAAGCGCAGCTTGGAAGAGCGGAACCGAAAGGCCTGTTTGCGCCGGAATCCGAACAAAGTCTCCTTTTCTGGGTCTGTGGAAAAGGAAGGGAAAAATAAGAGTCACATGAAGAGAAGGAGGAAAGGGACGGCGGCAGCAGTGGGGAGGGAACCATCAGTCAATCATTGATTTGGGGCAGAGGACACTCCGGCACAGAACAGGCAGCAGCACCCAAGGGCAACAGCCCCACGTGCACTATTATTATATTTATTGATACCATGCTTTCTCTCTCCCGAAGGGGACTCGAAGCAGCTTGACGTAAAAGCATCAGCATACAAATTAAATTATATTATTATTAATTCTTATATCACAGTATCATAAGACCTGTCAGCGGCTTATGATACCGTAAACCACCGCCTCCTCCTGAGAAAAATGTAGAATATCACAAAGGACGACCACCTCACCCTCTTCATAGGAAACCTGCTACAAAACAGGAGCTTCTTTGTTGAGTTCCAGGGCCAGAGAAGCAGATGGCGGAAACAGAAGAACGGCCTGCCTCAGGGGAGCGTGCTTGCTCCATCCATGTTCAACATCTACACAAATGACCAGCCACTGCCAGAAGGGACAGAGAGCTTCATCTATGCTGATGATCGTGCCATCACCACTCAAGGAAATCAGCTACCGAACAGGAGCTTTTTTGTTGAGTTCCAGGGCCAGAGAAGCAGATGGCGGAAACAGAAGAACGGCCTGCCTCAGGGGAGCGTGCTTGCTCCATCCGTGTTCAACATCTACACAAATGACCAGCCACTGCCAGAAGGGATAGAGAGCTTCATCTATGCTGATGATCGTGCCATCACCACTCAAGGAAATCAGCTACGAACAGGAGCTTTTTTGTTGAGTTCCAGGGCCAGAGAAGCAGATGGCGGAAACAGAAGAACGGCCTGCCTCAGGGGAGCGTGCTTGCTCCATCCATGTTCAACATCTACACAAATGACCAGCCACGGCCAGAAGGGACGGAGAGCTTCATCTATGCTGATGATTGTGCCATCACTACTCAAGCAGGGAGCTTTGAAATGGTTGAACAGAAGCTCTCCGAAGCTCTAGGTGCTCTTACTGCCTATTACAGGGAAAACCAGCTGATCCCTAATCCATCTAAAACACAGACATGTGCTTTCCATCTCAAGAACAGACAAGCATCCCGAGCTCTGAGGATTATTACCTGGGAAGGAATCCCACTGGAGCATTGCAGCGCACCCAAATCCCTGGGAGTCACTCTGGACCGTGCTCTGACCTACAAGAAGCACTGCCTGAACATCAAGCAAAAAGTGGGCGCTAGAAAGCTGACTGGCACAACCTGGGGATCACAACCAGACACAGTGAAGACATCGGCTCTTGCGCTATGCTACTCTGCTGCCGAGTATGCATGCCCGGTGTGGAACACATCTCACCACGCTAAAACAGTGGATGTGGCTCTGAATGAGACATGCTGCATTATCACGGGGTGTCTGTGCCCTACACCACTGGAGAAATTACACTGTCTAGCCGGTATTGCACCACCTGACATCCGCCAGGAAGTAGCAGCCAATAGTGGAAGGACCAAGGCAGAGACATCTCCAGCTCATCCCCTGTTTGGGTATCAGCCAGCACGTCAACGACTTAAATCCAGACATAGTTTTCTAAGATCTACAGAGACACTCGCTGGAACACCTCAGCAAGCGAGAGTCCAAAAGTGGCAGGCACAAACCCAGAACCTCAAACCATGGCTGTTACCAAATGAGAGACTCCCCGCTGGGCACACAGAATTTCTGACTGGGCGACTTGGAAGGCGCTGAACAGACTGCGCTCGGGCACCACGAGATGCAGAGCCAACCTCAAGAAATGGGGCCACAAAGTGGAATCCTCGACATGCGAGTGTGGAAAGGAGCAAACCACTGACCACCTGCTGCAATGCACCCTGAGCCCAGCCACATGCACAAGGGAGGACCTCCTTGCGGCAACACCAGAGGCACTCCAAGGGGCCAGAGACTGGTCAAAGGACATTTAATCAACTACCAAACTCACACATTTTGTATTTTCTCCGTTTGTTTGCTTTGTTCTGTTAGAAATTTAATATAATTGACTGGCTGCCCTGACACGAGAAATAAATAAATACATTATTTATACCCCACTTTATCTCTCCCGAAGGGGACTTGGAGCAGCTTGACGTAAAAGCACCAGCATACAAATTAAATTATATTATTATTAATTCTTATTTTATATGCATTTAATATATTATTATTATTAATACCCCGCTTTATCTCTCCCAAAGGGGACTCGGAGCAGCTTGACATAAAAGCATCAGGATACAAATTGAATTATATTATTATTAATTCTTATATGCATTTAATATATTATTATTATTATTATTATTATTATTATTATTATTATTATTATTTATACCCCACTTTATCTCTCCCGAAGGGGACTCGGAGCAGCTTGACGTAAAAGCATCAGGATACAAATTAAATTATATTATTTATTATTCTTATATTATATGCATTTAATATATTATTATTATTTATACCCTGCTTTATCTCTCCCGAAGGGGACTCAAAGCCGCTCGACTTAAAAGCATCATTATACAAATTAAATTATTATTAATTATTCTTATATTATATGTATTTAATATATAATTATTATTATTTATACCCCGCTTTATCTCTCTCGAAGGGGACTCGGAGCAGCTTGACATAAAAGCATCAGCGTACAAATTAAATTATTATATTATATATATTAAATATATTATTATTTATACCCCACTTTATCTCTCGCAAAGGGGACTCGGAGCAGCTCAACTTAAAAGCATCAGCATACAAATTAAATTATTATATTATATATATTAAATATATTATTATTTATACCCCACTTTATCTCTCGCAAAGGGGACTCGGAGCAGCTCAACTTAAAAGCATCAGCATACAAATTAAATTATATTATTATTAATTCCTATATTATATGTATTTAATATATTATTATTATTTATACCCCACTTTATCTCTCGCAAAGGGGACTCGGAGCAGCTTGACGCAAAAGCATCAGGATACAAATTAAATTATATTATTTATTATTCTTATATGTATTTAATATATTATTATTATTTATACCCCGCTTTATCTCTCTCGAAGGGGACTCGGAGCAGCTTGACGTAAAAGCATCAGGATACAAATTAAATTATTATATTATATATATTAAATATATTATTATTTATACCCCACTTTATCTCTCGCAAAGGGGACTCGGAGCAGCTCGACTTAAAAGCATCAGCATACAAATTAAATTATATTATTATTAATTCTTATTTTATATGCATTTAATATATTATTGTTATATTTATACCCCACTTTATCTCTCGCAAAGGGGACTCGGAGCAGCTCGACTTAAAAGCATCAGGATACAAATTAAATTATATTATTTATTATTCTTATATGTATTTAATATATTATTATTATTTATACCCCACTTTATCTCTCCCGAAGGGGACTCGGAGCAGCTTGACGTAAAAGCACCAGCATACAAATTAAATTATATTATTATTAATTCCTATATTATATGTATTTAATATATTATTATTATTTATACCCCACTTTATCTCTCGCAAAGGGGACTCGGAGCAGCTCAACTTAAAAGCATCAGCATACAAATTAAATTATATTATTATTAATTCCTATATTATATGTATTTAATATATTATTATTATTATTTATACCCCGCTTTATCTCTCGCAAAGGGGACTCGGAGCAGCTTGACGCAAAAGCATCAGGATACAAATTAAATTATATTATTTATTATTCTTATATGTATTTAATATATTATTATTATTTATACCCCGCTTTATCTCTCGCAAAGGGGACTCGGAGCAGCTCGACTTAAAAGCATCAGCATACAAAT